TTCCACATTGTTCTCCCTCTCTATCCAGGATCTCCTACATAGATCCCCCTCCAAGTGGTTGACAGTGGCAGGCAGGCACCATCTAGTTTTCCTGGTCTTACACTCATATAGGCTAAGGATCGCATGGTGTACCAGTCACTAGGACTAATTGTTTCCATGAATCTTTGGTTTTCTTCATTCTTCTCTGCTCTGGATGAGCAGAGACCCATCGTTGTGTCTAGATGGCTACTTGCAAGCTTTAAGATCTCAGTCGCTACTCGCCAAAATAGGAGGTGGAACAGTGTTTTGTGTAGTATGTTATGCCGATTGAGCTTGATGCCCCCTGCAACTTTGGTCCCAAGCCCACAGGTTCAACTACTCGCTCCCTCTGGGTAGCCAGCTATGACTACAACCTTGTCCCTTGTCAGCTCTACGATACACCTGGGAATTCTTACAGATCATACAAACATACTTGTAGGATCATTGTCTGCCAGCCCTATACATGGTCTTGGGTCCATGCCCCGCTACACAGACATACCTAATAGTTCAGCTTGTCCACCCATCTATCCACACATATACCCACGTTTGCTTTCACTGACAATGCAGTACTGTATGTGCAAAAGGGTTTTGTTGTCTGTACCTCCCATGTACCTCTCTATGTCTTCCTCTTCCTCAATGCCACCATGTTGATCACTCACATTTGGTACATTGCCCTTTGGGTCACTCTTGACCTGCACACCTGGCATTGCCATCAGTCAAACCCCAGTCCTCTCAAAACAGCCTCACTCCTTCTCCTGAAGCCCATATCAGGTGGCCAAGTTAGATCAAAAATAAGAACCGTTATTAGCTTTATCAGCTACATCTAAGGTTTATCCATTCCTCCAGTAAGCATGTATTAAATACCTACTATGTGCCTACCTGGTTTAAGGTCGGGGACACCTCAGTTGCAAGACCCTGCCATCTCAGAGCCAACATTCCAGTGATATCAGATAAATAACTAGATAAATTTGTAAATAATACACTGTCAGATGGTCATGAGTGCTCAAATGGCTTATCTGACAGACCCAGCATAACAATCTCAACATTTATCCTAAAAAGAAGCACTACATGAGAAAATCATGTAGGTGTTACAAAGCAATTTTTATTAATATACTGAATCTCTGGACATTTGGATAAATCATATTTTTGTTACTAGATAAATGAGAAAAATAAACTCTGCTTGTATTTATTGTCACTACATATCTATTTTTGCCATTCTTGCAAAGGTCTCTCGTCTGGAATTTGATTGACAAGCGTGATCTTTTGAAAATGCTGAGCCACCTGAAATCAGAGGTTCTTTCAACTCATGAAAAATAGTGACTTGATGTTGTCTGGCTGCTGCACAAGTGTTGTCCGGAGCAATTCAATTACTTTCTGCCCTTGGAAAAAATCATGTCATCCCAAATGACCCTGAAGCTCTCACCTATAAATTTGAAGGAGAACAGAGGAAGAGTTTTGGGGGAGTGGGGATTGAAGTAATGAAAAACCAAAGCTTTTCCTCTGGTCAGCTTAGTCCCCCTGAGATTTTTTTTTTTCCCCCCACATCTTCTCCACTCTCCTCACCACCCCTCCCCATCCTCTCGGTAGACAGCCTCCTCCATAGGGCAGATAGAGTACGCCATGTGGGGATCTCCTCATCTTCCTCCTTCCGGAGATACAAGCCCAGCTCCGTATGTAGCCATCCACCAGCTTTGTGCTGCTACAGTGGAGGTGCTGCCCCAACTCTGCTGCCTGCGTCTCCCTTGCTGTTTGCATTTAATCCCTGTCCACCTTCAAGAAGGGTTTCACAGTCACTTCCTTCTTGCCTATTGAACCTTCTCTTACTGGCTCTTTCCTAGTGATTTGTAAACATCCTCTAATGACTCCCACATACCTTTCTCTTATCACCCTGCCATTCCTCGTCCCATCACAGGTAAATTCCAGAAAGCAGGCTGCACTCCCTCCTTCCATGCCCTGCCCTTCCTTATCCTAACCCACCTCTCCCCTTTCCAGGCTGTTCTCCCCACATCAGTCACTATACACATTTAGAAGCACAAATCTGACTGGATCACCTGTGTAAAACCTTTAATGGCTTCACATGACTGATGGATAAAGATCAAAACACTGATGTAACCGTCACAATCTGTGTGATTGGCGTCTCCAGGGCCATCTCTTTCCATGGTCTCCTCTCTGCAGCTCAGCTACAGGGCCTCTTTTAGGTCTTTGGAGGCACCCTGCCACCCCCACTGCTGGTCTCTGTGTGTGCTGTTTCCTTGGCCCTGAATGCTATCCCACCTCCCCACCTACTTGCCTAGGTCAGCCTTTCTTGCTGAACAGTTCCACCGCACCGTGAACCACCACATCAGAGCACTTAACATACCTACAACTTCACATTTGTGTATATATAAATCTTTGATTAATGAGTTTTCCCCCTACTGGACTATCAAGTTCTTCAGGACAGAGAGCTCAGTCTTTGCTCATCAGTGTACCCTGAACACCTAGCCCAAGGCCAAACACATGGTAGGTGCTCATAGAATACTTTTGGATGGATGAATGAATGCATATTAGGTGTAGCCATGCCATTATGAAACATTTGGGTTAGACGTATGAACTGGGAATCAAGATGTCATATCCTATTGTTGCTGTTGTGTGCCACCAAGCTAATTACTCGTAGTGACCCTATATGACAAAGTAAAACTGCCCACACAGAGTTTCCTAGGCTGAAATCTTCACAGGAACAGATTACCAGGACTTTTTTCCCCACAAAGAGGCTTGTGGGTTTGAACCACCAATGTTTCAGTTAGCATCTGAGCACTTAACCACTGTGCCACCAGGGCTCCTTTGTCATGTCCTAAAGCTTCACAAATGGGGAAAGTGTGACCCAAGGTGATTCTACTTAGAGTGCTAGAATAAGTGGACATCCAGACCTTCTGACAACCTGGTCAGAAAACACAAACACAGAATATATTCCTCCCAGAATGGCTTGTGGTCAGGCTGAAATGCCATGTATTTACATCAGTGGCTTAGGAATGCAGCATTCTACTCAACCCACTACAGATAGCTACAGCAAATACCTTGGGAGTTGTTGCCATATAGGAGCCCCAAGTCAGCCCTTACAAGAAAGTACAGGATGTGTTACACATAGTGAAGTCTTCTTGCTGAGTTTGACTTCACATCATGGCATGTGCCCCTGTTTGAGCTAAGACACAAAGCTCCATGTTTATTTTCTGAGTTCTGTCAAATAGCATTTTTAACCATCATCTAATTCAATAAATTTTTTTGAGCCACATGCTCTGTCTAGGCACTATTTGGCTACTCATAATACAGTGATTTATTATTATTATTATTATTAAGTCACCATTCCCACCTTTGAAGATCTCATTTGATGAATTAATATGCAGAGATGGGAAAAACCCACAACTTGAAAAGAGCTTTAAGCTATTTTTGCTTAACCAGCTGCCCTTCCCAGGCCTATAACTAAGATCAGTGTTGTATGTCTCATCTGGAGAAGACCAGAGGAGAACCAGGGGCCTTTAAAGATCAAATACCTTGACTTACCTTGCTTCCCTCTGGGTTTGTTTTGCATGGACTCTCTCCAATAAAAGGGAGCCTGACAATAAAGCCATTAGTTAAGGCAACTGTTAGGACATATTAGCCATGGACAGAAGCTAAACAAAAGACTCACAAAGTCCCATCACACTTTATGAGGGAGTTCTAGTGTTATTCCTGTTTTTCCTGTTTTATCTAGTAAGGAACTTGGAAAGGTTAAACAACTTGCTCAAGGTCACATAAATCAAAATTTGCAGGTCTGGGAATTGAACTCAAATCATCAGACTTCATATTGCTTCCAATACTGAGAAGGTATTGAAAGAAGGTTGAAGGTACCAGTAATGCTGCTGCAAAGGTCACTATGAGAAAAAACATGTGACAGGTCAAAAACTGTAGCATTATTATGGGACCTAGAGAATCCCTAACACTATTTGCAAGGCTAACTCAATCCAGGTAGATAATGATGATCCATCCATTCAGTGACGCAGGCATACACCAGTACTCACTGAAGTACTGGTGATACTCATTTTCTCTCTCTCTCTCCTCTATTTTTTTTTAGGAGGAAGCTTTTTTGAGGCCAATGTGGAAAATGAAGATAGCGTCTCAGGCAGTGACTCAACATTCTATAGGCATTCAGAAGGTAAGGGTGCTTAACAGTTGCGGCTAACGGGGAGTTGGAGGAATAGAAACACCTTCAGCTATTGTCAGGGTCTCCCGGTTGCATTGTAATCTCTGGATGCAACTATTTATTGCTATGTGGGAGTCTCCACAGGGCTTCTTGTTATTGCTATTTGTAGGATCCCATCATGAAAACAGGTGAGTATATGTAGCCAAGGTGCTGTCTGCAGGTGGGATTCACTATCTATACTTTACGGTCAACTAGCAGTTTTTTTGTTTTATTTTTCTGTAATTATAATGCAACAACCAGTCTACTTGTGCATCTTGTCTTAAAATGTTATGAAGAATGTGTCATGTACTGATTAACTTCTACTTTCTTTATACCAATATAATAGTCCACTTAGAGCAAGGGTTACAAGCAAAAACAAACTGCCAGTTTCAAATAAAATCTCCATCACTTCAGCGCCTTCTTTAAAGTACTAACATGGATAATCAGTGCCTTCTGAGTCTCCTTCCTTGCACGGCCGCCACTCTCATCTATGCTCTTTCCATTCTCTCTCTTTAGGCTTCTTTTCATGCTTCCATCCCCTATCATCCTTGCTGTCTGCAATTTCTCCATGAATGACCTCACACCATATATGACTTCCATGCACCTCCATTTGCTGCTGAGCTGGAAACGCCCAGTCCTGATCTTGGTCCAGAGTTCCCAACTCAAATTTTTCTCTTGCTCATCAGGATGTGAAGATCCCACAGGAATTTAACCTCAGCATCTTTTAATCAAGTTCTTCAGCCTCATCAGTGCATCAGTAATAGTTACCTTTTCCTCAAGCTCCCTTCTAATTTCTACCCAGTCACCCAAATTCCTATCACATCTATTTCCAATTCTTATCTCTACTTTTCTATTCAGAGACCCATGGTCTGAGCACCTCCACCTACTACTCCCCCATATTAATTTCATTGACCATCTAACTGGTCTTCTGCTTGTCAGTCATTCAGCCTGCTGATCCTTATGCCACAATCCCTGCCAGTTTTTCTTTCAAACACCAACCTGAGCCTTCACTTTTCAGTGGAAACTTCTTCAGTGTTCAATATCACCCTCATCCAAAATGCAAACATAAAGATGGCATCCAAAGCCCTTCTAGATCTTACTGCCAGGGAGCTGTGGAACTTGGTAACCATCCCAATCACAGATTCTACTACTCTGTCTCACAGCAGTGACTTATGTGTATGGTCTCCAGTAGCTTGGAAAGCACTCGAGATCATAGATTCAGCTTGTTCATTGAACCTCCCTGGGAGCCACCACAGAGCCTAGAATACAGGAGGCGCTTGGTAAACTTGTCTTTGATGCATCAGAGATTTGTAGGGCACCCTGCCTGTGACAAATACGAGGATGGGTATCTTGAAGAAGATAGATAGGAGATCCAGGGTGTATCTCCAGGAAGCACTTAGTGTGATAACAACATAACTTTTGTAGGCTTGACTTTTTGAAACACCTGTTTTATTTTACATTGGAAAAACTGTGTGTTCAGTCAACCACCCTATAGTGTGCAGAGTCCTGGGCTGGGTTGCCTATGTGCACCTTTACCACAACTGTCATAGCCAACCTGTGGCATACCTACCTGCTGGCTATAGATCGCACTCTGTCCTTAATTGGGTTGATGTTTTACAGTTTGCCAAATGCTAGTTTCTGTCCACATTTGAATCTTTAGGAATCTAAGAAGCTTGAATTTATATTTTTTTAGTTGAATGATTGATTAATAAATTGATATACTTATACCCTGTCTCATTTCACAAAGAATTTGAGGCAGCTTACAGGAAATTTACATGTGTTAAATAATGCATGACTTTTGTTGTTGTTGTTATGTGCCATCGAGTTGGCCCCGACTCATAGCG